TAAGCACCCTGGCTTAGCAAAGAGAAGCATGCATGCTACAGTGATGTGATCTGAGAGATCATAGGAGGGTTCTCTCTAGCATCCTCACTGGCTGCCCATTATTCAAAACCCCAACGTTAGCAGCTCATTTGCCATAATCACTAAGCGCATCCTTAGATTCAGCTAAAACATCTACTCTGCCCCTTAGGCAAGCGACCTTAACCAAACCATTTATCATCTCTGAGCCTCAGTTTCTTTTTTCTGGGGAAAAGAAATAATAAAACCAAACTCAAGAGTTATTGAGATGTTAATATGAGATATAGTATATAACATACTAAGAACAATTCAGGCTATGATAGGTAACATTTAAGTGGCAATGTTATCTAGGAGTTGTAACATATTAAACTGCTACCCACTGGGTGCTATACAAGGCCAAGTCAGTTTTCTGATTAATTTCACAAAGGCAAAAACTTGAGGAAATTTTACAAGGCAAGAATATCCAAAGCTTCTCTGAGGCACACAGAACACCGCTGATAGTAAACGAGGCATGGTGGTCTAAAACAAAATTTGAAATGTGTGGAAAGTCAGTCTGACCACATGTTGGTCAAGAAAGAAGTCGCAAGTATGTTGAACGTGATTAACTATTTCACAAGTGTGTCAGCTTTTGTATTTTTCCTTTCTGCAGTAAACAATAGAGTTTGATATATAAATAATAAATGCATTTTCACAAATATGCCTGGTCTCATGTGTGAATGCTTATCGTATGCCTATAATCCTTGTACAGACAAAGCTAGCTCACTGTTATTTCCATACCAGGAGCTTCATAACCTGGATTTGACCTTCCTCCCTCCCTTTATCTTCTGTACATTTCTCACATGACGACTGTGCAACAACCACACCAATATATTGAGAGTGGTGATTTGTATATTATTTTACATTTCCCCCCTGCACACAGACGTTCCCCCCACCCCCAACCCCTGCCTGTAGTACACCAGTTTGTTTATTTCTTTAGCTTCTTCTCTTCCTTCAAAACTTAACTGCTGCTTCTCTTCACAATCTAAATTTCCCAGCTCATTTCTACCCCAGGTTCAGGTACATCTGTGCTTATTTCTCTTGCCAAATTTTTCAGACCGATGTATTACTATTAGGTTGGTGCAAAACTCATTGTGGTTTTTGCCATTACTTTTTTTTTTTTTTGAGACAGAGTTTCGCGCTGCTGCCAGGCTGGAATGCAGTGGCACCATCTCAGCTCAGTGCAAGCTCCTCCTGCTGGGTTCAAGCTATTCTCCTGCCTCAGCCTCCTGAGTAGCTGAAACTACAGGTGCACGCCACCACACCCAGCTAATTTTTGTATTTTTAGTAGAGATGGGGTTTCACCATGTTGGCCAGGTTGGTCTTGAGCCACTGACCTCGTGATCTGCCCACCTCAGTCTCCCAAAGTGCTGGGATTACAGGCGTGAGCCACTGTGCCCAGGCTTGCCACTACTTTTAAATGGCAAAAACCACAATTACTTTCTCACCCACCTAATAACTAACTAGCACTTTCTTTACACTGTCCTGAGGGTTCCTCAAGGGAAGTGACCATAATGCCCTTGACTTTCTCTGTACAGCAGACTATCTGTCTGGTACAGAGTAGGCACTAAGTAATTAAGCGATAAATCAGTAAATGTTTGATAAAGTAATACATACAGATGCTTCTATAATGAATTATTTATAAAAACCCTTTACCACAGGCTATGACTTGCACTAAGACAATGAATGAAACTCAGAAGTGTTGAATCAGAATCTCAGTCTCTACTCCCTCTTGAGAATGACAGAAGGAACTTTCTGATCTGTTCTCACCTAGACTTTGCCCCAAGATGGTCAATATGCTACTCAGGGACATCCAGGAGTGAGGCAAGCATCCTTAAGAGGGGAAACTCAGTCCTTTTCTCTTGACCTTTGATAGGCAGATTGTTGAACAGGACCTTATCTAATAATAAATTCTGATGACCTAAGAGAGGTCACTTGCCACAGAAAGTGGCCCTGGATGGAAAATTTTCACTGGCTCTAAAGGAAATGGAAAGGGTCATGAAATATGTAACAACTTCTGGAGTCATCAAGGTGAGAGAAGACATTGTGAAGAATCCCTCTGAGCTCACTCTGGATGATGAAGTGAAATCATCAGATAAGGGGTTCAGAGGTTAGTGAAACAGTGAGCAGGTCAAAGGAGGGAGAGGCTGGGAGCTGAGTGGAAGACAGCAGTGGAAAGTTTTAGGAAAGGAGACACAGAGCACTTCAGCCCAATTAAGGGATATAAGGTCACGCTCCTCCCTGTCCCTCAGTGTGCAGTAAACTAAGCCTGGTTCATTTGATCCCGGGGAAGTGGAGACACTGAGGCAGTGTTCAGTAGGCAAATGTCCTATAAAGAAAGGGATAAAGGAGAAGAAACACTGAGCAAAGACCAAGAAGGCAACTAAGAAAGGACTCAGAGTCTGCCAGGAGCATTGGCTCACGCCTGTAATCCCAGCACTTTGGGAGGTCGAGGCAGGTGAATCATGAGGTCAGGAGCTTGAGACCAACCTGACCAACATGGAGAAACCCCATCTGTACTAAAAATTAGCCAGGCGTGGTGGTGTGCCCTGTAATCCCAGCTACTCAGGAGCCTGAGGCAGGAGAATTGCTTCAACCTGGGAGGCAGAGGCTGCAGTGAGCCGAGATTATGTCACTGCACTCCAGCTTGTGTGACAGAGGGAGACTCCGTTGAAAGAAAGAAAGAAAGAAAAAAAAGAAAGAAAGAAAGAGTGAGAGAGAAAGAGAGAGAGAAAGAAAGAAAGAAAGAAAGAAAGAGAGAGAGAAAGAAAAAGAAAGAAAGAAAGAGGAAGGGAGGGAGGGAGGGAAGGAAGGAAGGAAGGAAGGAAGGAAAGAAGGAAGGAAGGAAGGAAGGAAAGGAGGGAGGAAGGGAGGAAGGTGGAGGTGAGAGGAGGGGGGAGGGGAGGGAAGGGGAGGGGAGGGGAAGGGAGGGGAGGGGGGAGGGGAGGGAAGGGGGGAGGGAAGGGGAGGGGAGGGGGGGGAGGGAAGGGGAGGGGAGGGGAAGGGGGAGGGGAGGGAAGGGGAGGGGAGGGGGGAGAGGAGGTGGGGAGGGGTCTGAGTCAAGAGTAACTAGGAGAAGCACTTCTACCTATTCCAGCTCCTATATCTATTTCTTTGATTACACACATAGTGTCTAATATGCACTGTGAGAGTAAACTTATAAATCAAAGGAATGAGTGAATCCAAGCGACTGGGAGCAGACGTTTTGAATATGTTTTATGGCAGCACGACCATCTAACACTTCAACACACCTCCCAAGCTCGTAGGTGCCATCTTGTGATAATTCTCTTCTTTAAAGATGGTCTAAATTAATGTGTTCAACTAATTACCACTGAATGTCTTCTGTAGGTCTTGAGAGGTATAATGTTTAAAGAGTCATGGCCTCCACCCGGGATACAAATCATAGTTGGTTGTAGGCATCTGCAATAATGAGATGGAATTCACTGGAGGATAAAGTGGGGGCTCAAGGAATGCAGAAGCCCATTCTACCTGTGGTTACCTATATCTAATTTCACCTACATGAAGAGCAAGATTCATTACCACGTAACTTCGGCCAGCTTGAGTTTAGGAGAAGGCACTCAGGTAACCTGCCCTGGTGCCTAAGCAGCCCTAGGGTATTCTGAAGAGATAATTCCCATCTCCTGGGATCCAATGAAGACAAATGCCTGGTCCTTTCCTTGCTGAACTGAGATTTTAGCTTAACCTTATATTTTATGTGAAACAGTCCTTGTTGTTCACAGTTTGAGGAGTGAGTAAAAATATTAAAGGGAAATTTGGAGATTGAGACCAGCTTAACATAAGAATTTTTAATTAAAATTGAGCAGCATTTGACGAAGTAAGCAAAATTGCTAAGCCAAAAGCAAAGAATGCTTTAAATTCAGTCAAAGAAAAAGTATATTTGGAAATGTTCTGTACATATTTTCGTAATCAATACAGTAAAAAACTAGCAGCTCACCTGGAGGATAAAAGAAGAGTAAATGTAATGGGCATGGAAGCTTCAAACTAAATTCGTTTTACAGAAGTAAGTTGGTGTGGGAGACTAAGAGAAACCCTGGCTGCAGAAACAGCTGATTTCTAATTGTGTATCTATCACTTGACCGACATGTTTGACACTGGGAAAATTATTTAACATCTCTGCAATAGATACTACTCAACATTATGAAGCAAAAGGAAGACAATTATATGAAATTTAATAGATGCTCAATAAATATACATTTCCTTTGTGTGTGTTCATTGGTAGCAAAAGGGAAGGCGAGTGATTGAAACATCAATGGGACCGTGAAGAAACAGCCTATATAACCCCACATCCCTGTCTCTCTCACTCTCTCCCCGCAAAACCTATAGTCCACATATCATTAATATCCTGACTCAATTGCAAAGCTCAATATTACATGTCATTCCTTGTTTGAAATGGGAAGTTCTGAATACAAGAAACTGATGGAGGCCGGGTGCAGTGGCTCACACCTGTAATCTCAGCACTTTGGGAAGCTGAGTCAGGTGGATCACGAGGTCAAGAGATCGAGACCATCCCGGCCAACATGGTGAAACCCCGTCTCAACTAAAAATACAAGAAAAAAAAAAAAAAAGAGCTGGGCGTGGTGGTGTGTGCCTGTACTCTCAGCTACTCGGGAGACTGAAGCAGGAAAATCTCTTGAACCTGGGAGGCGGAGGTTGCCGTAAGCTGAGATCACGACACTGCACTCTAGCCTGGTGACAGAGTGAGACAACAACAAAAAGAAGCTGATGGTATGACCACATGCTTGTATGTGACAAGCATCAGTTATACTGAAAATACTAGAATTGACCATTTTCAATTAAAAAAAAGGTCACCATCGGGGCACTCCAGTTTGTATTGAGCTTCTCATCCATGTCCTTCTGTCTTAGGGAAATTTTATACATCAATTAATGCGCTTTCTCTATAATTGCAGAAAGATGGAGATTCTCATTACCATTCATCCTTGTCAGCGTCGCAATTGCAAAAGTGCTGAATGTCCAGGCAGCTCTCGTCTAGGCCACACTCACACTGCTGGACCCCAGGAGGAGAACCTCCCCAGTAAGGGTGCCTTTCATTGGACCGCCCAATCCACCAGGTAAATGGTGTTCCATCTGGAAGACAAGATATTCCACCAGTCAGGGCAGGGCAAACCTGAAGTAACACAGGGGATGGCACAGAAACTGAGCTGAAAATATCTTGGAGAATAGATGTATATAGATAATCTCCTTCTCTTCCTGTCTTCTTCCCTCCCTCACTTCCCCCCTTCCCTGTGCTTGCTTTCTCCATTTCTTTGTTTCGTCATCTCATTTTTCTGTTCCTTCTTTTTCCATCTCTGTCTTTCTTTCTCACTCTTTCTATATATTTAAATTTGTATTTATACACCTATGCACACCCATATATGTACACATGTAAACAACATTTTCATCAAAATGTGTGTATCGATGAATGGCAATGTTGAGAGGCAGTGTCGCAAAATTAAATTCTTACCAGATCAGGCACAACTAAGTAAGTTAGGTCAGAATTTAGACCAAAAATTTTAATATATGAATTTTTAAAAAGAGTAACTTTCTTTTACAACTACCAAAGAGAAAATGAGAACACCAGGGCAAAGATTAGCCTGACCTCTGTTCTCAGTTCTGGGTAGACAATGAGGAAGTTAGAGACTCTGGTGAACAAGAGGTTGGCTGTGTAAGAGAGCTGATTCTGACTGTCTCCCATTGATTTCTCTCATAATAGTAGCCCCACATTTACCATATCTTCTGATTTTGTTTTTTAAAAAGAAGTCATACATTCCAAGCTGAAAGATTTGGGAGAAAAAAAAAAATAAAATAAAAGCACTGTGAAGGCTAATAATGTGTGGGCCTGAACAAACCCTTGTGAAGGTTATATTTAACCCAAATAACGCTGGTATGCAACCTGTGATTTCCAGTCTGTATATCTAACTAGAAACAAATAAATATAATAACTAACTAAATATCTAACTTGAGTCTTGTCCTTCTCAATTTTTTTTCTTTACAAAATGTAATTTAGTGAAACCTTTTGGATATTTATGATTGAGAATATTTCATTAGCTTAGAATTATCATTCTGAAAGTGATACGGTATCCAAAACAAGATAGGTAGAGATGGAAATGTTATACACTTTTAGACTGAAGGATGTGAGGCCTGGGCTCCCTTTGGTAATTGCCTTTTTTTTTTTTTTTGAGACAAAGTCTCACTCTGTCGCCCAGACTGGAGTGCAGTGGTGTGATCTTGGCTCACTGCAAGCTCTGCCTCCCAGATTTATGCCATTCTCCTGCCTCAGCCTCCCGAGTAGCTGGGACTACAGTTGCCTGCCACCACATCTGGCTACTTTTTTTGTAATTTTAGTAGAGACAGGGTTTCACTGTGTTAGTCAGAATGGTCTTGATCTCCTGACTTCATGATCTGCCCGCCTCGGCCTCCCAAAGTGCTGGGATTACAGGCATGAGCCACCGCGCCCGGCCGGTAATTGTCTTATTTGTGTGTGATATACAACAGGTGCTTAACATGTGCTTATTTAAAAAATGAAAGAAATATTTATTAAGGGACACTTTATATCATTTACAATTTTACAGTAGACTAATAGGAATTGTCTGAGGATGTTACTAGGATGAAATTTTGCCTAATCAAGATTCTAGTTTATATGCATATTTTTATGTGCAAACGTAAAAAACACAATTAATCTCTATATACAAATAACAACAATTTTCTCTTACTTGGCTCCAGGCTAACATCCCTATGAAAGCCACTGAGGTAAGTAGGAAGAGACCAGGCAACCTAGAGCTTTCAATAATCTGAAGGTCATGAGTAAAACATACAGAAGATACTTTGAAAAGCAACAGCATTTTAGGGGTGCTGATTCATGAAGCAGAGGGCCTGGAGGACTGCAGTCATCCCAACGTGGCACTCCACAGTCTGCCTAAAGTAAGTTCAATTCCTATGTCGTCTTTAAAGCTGGAGTTTCAATTAGAGATGTCTGTTAACTAGTGTGTTCTTTTAAAGAAAAGTTATAAACAATATGAATTCATTTTCTTGAGTTTCCAATAACTATAAATCACTGTACAATACTACACATGAATTGCTTTCTTCCTAAATCCCTGCTCAGGTGAGTCAAGCATACATGGCCTAGAGGACTGGCAGGAGCATGGAGCACATTCAGGGCTGGAGTAAGCTTTGGTGGCTCATCAAAGCATGAGTCCAGCCAGCATGAGGGTGAAGCATTTTGTATGTGAATACATTTGTCAGTGTTGTCCTTGGGTCCAAAAATGGAAAGAAATCTCTCAAACTCTCCCTCCTTCCAGCAGCCCAGGCCTCTCCTCTCAGACTCTAGAATCCAGACTACACAGTCAAGTCCCATGTCAGCAAGAGTTACTTTGTTTATGAACTACCGGAAAGGCTACAAGCACAATAATTGCATCATTACTAATGGTATAAGCTCTGAACAGCCAATTTGTGTGCAACTTCTGGTGGATGTGTTGCTTCTAGTAGATTTACCAATTCTTATTTGGTGTTTTCACTCCCTAGAAGTTCCATTAGCAGCCCAACTCTTAATTCTGTTTTGAATTCATCAACATCTTGCACCACTTTGGCCTCTAATGTCTCTCTCCTAATGTCTGGCTTAAAGGTTGAGAAGTTTAAAAGTTAAAAAATGTTTTAACCAATTGACTTTCAACAAACAAGAAGAAAAAGGTAGAGAACAAAAAATTATATATGTATATATGAAAACAGGAGTATTGCTAAATTTTCCCTCTAGATGTCCCATCTTTGTGTCTTGGTTCCTGTGGAGTATTGGAGAGATTCTAGCAAATGAAGCTACTGAGGATCAAACAGGGGTTTGACTCGCCTGAAGTCTTGACTCTAACCATGTATCAGGAAGAAAAAAGACATCCTGGGCTGCAAATTTTGGCCATTGCAGAAATTGAATTTTTTCTTTCCCGACAGGAGGTTCTTTCAAAAGTGAAGGAAAATAGCACAATTATAAATATTTTATTTTAAAACATATGCATTCATTCAACAAACATTTACTAAAGATTTATACTGTTTCAGACATGGTTCTAGGCACTTGGAATAAATCACGTAAGACAACATACCAAAATGAAGAAACAAACAAAACATGCCCTCCCTGTCGTTACATTGTAATTAGGAGGAAATGGCAATAATAACCTTTAAATAATTTAGTATTTAGAAAGGGATAAGAGGTATGTTGTAATCGGTTTTCATGCTGCTGATAAAAACACACCTAAGACTAGGTAATTTATAAAGAAAAAGAGGATTAATGGACTCACAATTCCATCTGACTGGGAAGGCCTCACAGACATGGTGGAAGGCAAAAGGCATGTCTTATATGGTGGTGGACAAGAGAGAATGGAGTGCCAAGTGAAAGGGGAAACCCCTTATGAAATCATCAGATCTTGTAAGACTTACTCACTACTATGAGAACAGCATGGGGCAAATTGCCCCCATGATTCGATTATCTCCCACCGGGTCCCTCCCACAATACATGGGAATCACAATACATGGGAATCAGGATAAGATTTGGGTGGAGACATAGCCAAATCATATCATATAGGGAAAATACAAAACAGGCTAAGGAGAGCAAGTGTGCTGTGAAGAAGGGTATATTGCAGTTTTAAACCACACAAATCAGGAAAGACTTTGATGAAAAGATATCCTGAGCAAAACTTGTAGGCCACGGGTAAGTCACCTGTGGTCATCTGGAAAATCTCATTGCAGACAAAGGAAATGAACAACGTAAAGAACAAATCAGGGCATTTTTTAGAATCTATGGCTAGGTTTTTAAACTGCACTTTGCAAAATGTTGCAAATGCTCTGATAGGAAGGTTTAACAGGAAAAAAAAATGGGTAGCATAAAACAGATAAAATAGAACTTAGTTGATCAGGTTCTTGAATAGAAGCTAAGAATTCCCTCTGCCTGTTCCAAGGCAAAAGATATTTATTATGAAGATGCTGGACTGCCACAGAATCATAAATATAAAACCCTGCCCAGCTGGCTGCCCCTGAATGCTGAACGCCTAGAGACCAATTCAGTCAACATGCTGTCTGAACCACCAACACCTCCCTGCAAGTATCTCGAGCTGCAACCCTGTCTCCCCAAAGATGTGTCTCTGCAGCCCTTGTGTCTGCAAAAAAGAAGGTTCACATGGAGCCTGCTTCCTGGGGTTATCTTCCCATCAGAGCATCTCACAGGTAGGGCTGATGGATAAAGCACAAGTTGCATGCTTGAGTCCCAGCTGGAAAGGAGATTGGGGATTTAAATTCTGACTTCTTTGCTGTGGAGGCAGAACTCACAACACATTTCCCCCTAACACAGACATGTTATTCAAAAGCTAAGCAGACACTTAGTATCTCTTAATGGGTCAATATTTTAAATCTCTGAAATCTCTATTTCTTCCACCAAATGGGATTATTGATCCAAATATAAACCTATTCTGATGCTTCTGATAAACAAAGAACTCTATGAAATCTGGTGAGCAGAGCTTAGGGAGGTTCCACAATTTTGCTTTGACAACCAGGAAGGCACTTTGCTTTGACAACAAGCAAATGGGGACAAATTGTGTCTACCCTCCAGCTGCCTGCATGTGACATAGATATTTCTCCACAGTAGAGGTCTGCGTTATGCACTGTGCTTCCAGGGCCTGGGGCTCTGGGGATTTGTGAGGCCAGCTCCTTGGCTAGGAAGCCAGAGTTTTCATACACATCCCCAGCAGCCATGCCATGCAAGGACTTCCACGAAAGAGCCAAGACTAAGAAAGCAAGAGGACTGGGACCTGATGAGAGACTCCTCCAGGAACTCCCAGTAGCAGTCTCAAAGCTCTTAGAGAGTTGGCAAAGTCCTCTGTAAGCAGGATATAAAAAATACGACTGAGGAATTGCATGAGTTTACATTACATCTATGTCAATATTATTGTCATATGACCTCATGCATTTAAACAAGATATGGGAAAACTCAAATTACATGTGTGTGTGTCTGTGTGTATATTTAATATATATGTATACACATATACATCCTCCTAAGAAAGTATTTGTTTTAGAGTGTACAAAGTAAGTGATCACAGAAGGTGATCTTACAC